TCGTGCCCATGATTTTAGCGAGCGTAACCATTTGAACCCTATAATCACGCAATACGGATAACTATAATATGCTGAAGTGACAAAAAATAAAAATATTTGCAGCAGTGCACTAGTAAAGAAAAAAAACATCAACAGAGTTGCCTGTCGCAAAATCTCGTATTTAGCCAGAATGATTCCTGGCTGATTCAATACAAAAGGTCCATATGCAAGTAACAAGTTGCGAGTAGCAAGTAGCAAAATGTGTCGTATGCGAGTGGTAAACATGACATATGCGAGGGGTAAAATGTATTCTTAGCGAGTGGCAAAAAAGAAGGCGTGGGGGTCAAAATGAGCCCGGAAAATGAGTCATTTGCAAGTAGTGAAATGTAATTTGCTACAGAGTGTGATTGTTTATTCATATGCATATGGGTATTAACTCATAACAACCTACTGAAGGAGGTTAAAGGTTACAAAAGAAAATTACAAATAAAAATTAATCAAATTACAATGGCTGATAGTTTAAGGGACAACCAAATACAGATTAAATTGAAGTTAGTAACCTAAGTAGGTGCTGCTGTCTGATAACAAAGCTGTATTTCAGATATTGTGCCAGAGGAATTGTTAAGTTATTATTTGACATTATTTTTATGAATTTATTTTCAGATGTAAGATTTATAAAGTCAGGAATAATCTTTTCAGCTTCATTGTATAAAATGACCCTCTCTTTACTATATACTGGGCATATTATGAGGAAGTGATGTTCTCTTCAATATCATTTTTAATACACAATTTGCATATTCTGTCGCTACTTTTGATTCTGTTGTGTCTCCCTCTTTCAATTTCTAAACTGTGATTGCTCAGCCTGAATTTAGTTAGGGTACTTTTCAGTTCTTTTTTTTAGCTTAATTAAGTAGTGAGTTTAAAGGGCGGCAGTCGTCGTGCCGCGTCCTAATCGATAAAATACATTGTTTATTTACATGAAATTCGAACACGCGTTACGTGACGACCGCCGCGCTTTAACACCTTTCCGAAATGTGAGTACGTTTGAAGCCTGCCATTGTTTTCATTTATTAGGTGGCGCGTGACGTCAGAATTCTTTCTTATAGACGCAACCCCTGTGTGACCACACATTTTTACTGATGATAATTATGATTGTTTAACTGCAAATCACGGGTTCATACTAATTTTACCGAAACAAAGAACAATTTTCACATTTTATGTGGAGTGTGCTGTTTCATGAACATACCTACATGGTTGTTTATCAAATTATTGTATACTGTAATAACACGCCGCGTTTCCTGTGCAGTGTGAAGAGCACACTTTTTGAT